TCTGTTGGATCGGACCACACAGGTTTAAAAAGTCATAAAATGACTGACAATTGAGGGTATATTAGGGTTAGACCCTACTAAAGAACTTTTCTTTTGTCATATAGAGTCCAACACAGACAAACTCATTATAACATGACACAAATGGTTAAGATGGTGAATTGAATATATTTGTAAGTAGCAAGAGTATTATTTGTAGTAGCTTTGATGATACTGTGGTAGTTGCATTAGCAGCTTTTAAAGGGAACCAAAAATGTACTAACCTCCAATGTAGTATTAGGCTTCTTCTATCTGAATGTCCTGAACTGTGTATGTAGAGTAGTCTATGTCTAAGTTAACCTGTGAAATCACAGGTTAACTTAGCACTTAGCACACATTTTTCTCTCTTATGCAAACTGTGATAGACTGCTCAGCGAGAGTAAGGGCTGTGCGGCAGTAAGAAAAAAGAAGGTTTTGTTGTCTCCTGTGATTACTCCCTTGAAATGTTAATATAACCAATCAAACAGTACAGCCGCTGTCATATACATGTACAGACTGATCTGAGCATGCAGTGTAGAATCTTTCTTACAGTACGGATTTGTCTTTCCTGTGTGTCGCTCTGGTAAGAAGCTGCTGTAGTGTTGAATATCCACCTGATGTCCTTTTGTATCGTAGTGTTCTTTATTTTTGTCTGATTTGTGTTAGATCTAAACCAGGGATCTCAAAGTCAAATTTAAGAATCGTAATTAATACCCAAATTATTTAGCTATGTCTAAATGTATGGGATTATGAACCCAAATTCCTGAAATTAGGTGTTTTAACCTAGTTATATTATGGCATTGCAATATGAACAATAGGAAACATATTAGGATGGAACATTGTCAGGAGTTTAGATCCTCCTGAAAGAGTTCTACACAGACAAAGAAAGGTAAATATTCTTCTTGTTGGTAACACAGTTAAGACAAAAAGGACCAGACAAATATATATTGAACCAAAACACCTGCAGCGCAGTAGTGCCATTGCCTCACGAAAGTCAGAACAAACTTTTAAATTAAGCCTTTTAGTTCTTATTTGAGTGAAGTTTCAGCAACTGGATTCCTTATTTCAAAAATGTGTTTTGGTGGACTGCTAATGTAAAATAAGTTTGCGCACACTAAATGAGTCCTGTGTCTCAACTATTTTTTTGTTGTCCCCAGCAAAAATAGAAAAGGGTCTGTTCATAGTCATATCGACAGTATACCAACAACACTTTTCACTACAGTCAATGTCTATATGTGTATTATGTGCAACCTGCTGGCTGATGCTCTTTCCCTTCTGGCTCTGATCCTGTCTCTGCTGTGGTTGTTTGGTGCTCCAGCTGCTCTGCTGGTCCCTTTGTTGCCTTCCCCACTTGTGTTAGCACCCCATACCAAATGTGGTTCACCTGACTGTTGTTGTTTTGCTCCGAAGCTAGTTTGCTTTGCTCGTTAAGCCTGTTTTGCTTGATATTTGTTTGTTCTGCTAATTTATTTTTGAACAGCTGAGTGGTTGTTTTTGAATTGTTTTTGCATGAGTGTTATTTCTCTTTCAGTAAAGCAGAGCACCATATTGTGGGCAGGCTAGGCACTCGTGGTGAGATCCCCACTCTTGATGCATGTGAGTGAGAGCACTAGGACACATCTGTAAACTGCACCTTTGTGCTGTGAGGTTTGCTGTGTTTCACTGAAGGTGAATTAGAGGTAGCACCCCTGGGCACTCCTCAGTGTAGTCTGCCTCTCCACAAGTGGCCTCAGCTCACTCTCCTTAGTTTTGGTTACTTTAGGTTGGACTAATTAATTTGCTTATTAATATGAAGGGTTTTAGATATTGTATAGGCCATTTGTTTTATTTAGAATAATTGTAATAAAGTATTTTTAATCATCACAATGTGCATTTTAGAAATTTTTTTTTTTGCTTCTTAAAAATCTTTCTTTTTCAGCAGCTCAAGTGCCCTAATACTTCTGTGTTAATGGATTATGGCTCCGTATCTAATGCTTCCTTATTAATGTAGCTACACGTCAGGGCTACGGCAGCTACAAAGATACCATATGGAAACAACAAGAACTGTGGTCAGCCTGGGCTGTTGGGTTCAGCAACGCACCTCTGGCAAAGTTCTCTCCACTGCAACCCTTCAGCTCACTGTGACCACCACTATCTTTCGATCACAGTGGCGTAAATAGTCTCATTCAATAATGAAGATGAACCTTCCCAGTTTTGGTTATTTTCTGAAATTGATGACGATTGGCCAGCTGTGTTGAGGTGAGAATCTGAGCAGACACTGGACTTCTTCCCATTTTGAGCTCTTTTTCATTTGGTACACAGCTACAGTATTTCTGTCACTACTTGTGTGTACAAACCAATGTCAGCTTTGACATGTGGTGGCTGAGTGCAGTATAGGTCATAAAGCCTGCTGCCTCCATGGGTACATCTCAAGTCTCTTATTCAACATTTCCTCACTCCTCGATCCTCACTTGAACCAGAAGTTGTTCTGGTCTGCCATCTTGCAGGCCATCCTAGAGCGCTCATATCTGCACCGAGGATTGAGGATTGAGGTTTGACGCGCACCTTTATTGGATATCAGTTATTGATTGGACGCTGCAGCTGATCAGAGATAGCAGAGAGTCTGTCTGTCAACACTTTTTACATCACTTATCGTAACTTCCATTCAGTCACATGAGGCTGATAATTCCTGAGTCAGGTTTGATATGAGTTACATCATTTAACATTTCCCTGAAACATTTAGTCTAATAAATGTTTTCCAATGTTCAGAAAACGCCACATGCATGTGGATGCAACTACGCGACACAACTCGTGTTAGCAGATGGGATATGGGACAACAATCAAAGTACACGTCAAATACATTTTTCCCAAAGATGGTTTCTGGCATTTTAGGTATTCCTTAGCATGCTGATAAATCCTGCTGCTACAGTGTAAGACATACACACACACACTGACTGACCCCCCTTTTCTGGCTACAACTTCCTGCTTAAAGGGCAAGAGACCTTTAAACACCTCACAGAGAGAGAGAGCGAGAGAGAGAGAGAGAGAGACTCTCAGAGAGAGAGAGAGAGAGAGAGCGAGAGACACTCTCAGAGAGAGAGAGAGAGAGAGACTCTCTCAGAGAGAGAGAGAGAGAGAGAGAGTCTCTCAGAGAGACTGAGAGCTGTGCTGAGCAGCATGTGGATGAAAGCAAGAGGAAGATGTCTCTCCAGCATGTAAAAACACACAAAGATACAGAGTCCCTTTCCTCCTCCTCCTGTGGTTTCTGCTGACAATGGGCTCCTTCTGCTCGGCTCTGGACAGGAAGATGGCTGTGGTGACGGTGACGCCACGTGAGGAGTCACCAGTTCAGACAGTGACAGGTCAGTCACTCATATTCTATCTTAGCTGTCTCTGACATAAACTTTCAAATTACAAAAGCTCACTGTTGCAATAAGGTTGGACTCCATGCTCATTCATTGCCTCATCATTCTGATATATGATTTGATTCTGAGAATATTTGTGAAAAAGGCTGCAATGGCTGCAACGTAAGCTAACATTATTGCGCCTGTCTGTAATATCTCTCGCCACCAGACTCCATAGACAAAAGTTGTAATTTTACCTCACAGATCATTGTAACCTAATTCAAAGTGGACAGACATAAAGTAACTAATCAACAAACAGTTGTTTGGTCTCTTGTTTGGTCAAAATAATCCTTAACTCATCAATGCAGATGAGAAAAACAGCAGTTGTAGTCACTTTAAAACTGAAAACATCACCCACCTCATCCAAATCAGCCATGCCCTTAATTATATATAACTTCAAGTCTTAATATAATTTAAACAGAGGTGTTTTATTAATAACGTTCATCCTGTACAGTTGTCATGAATGGGGAAATTAGCTATAGAGACCTAAAGTTATTATTATGTACACAAGAGAATATATGAATAAAAAAACGATAAAAATGTATTAATTATCTGCATATAAAAGATTGGAATTATATAAAAAATTATGAAAGAATGATAAAATAGGAGATTGACTCAATGCTGAAGATGCCTTCAAAACAAATAGGACCAGTTAGAGGAAACTTACAAGTTTTTGAAATACTACAAATCAAGGCTGGCTTAATTATAAAATAAGTAAGTAACAAAAAAAAAAGTAAAATATTATAGAGATATTTCACTAACTAATTGAACTTTTTGTGGGGAAAAACACACAAATAAAATTATTATTCAAAGCAAATTAATTTTATATGTCTAAAAATATTTCTGGGTGGGAACCTTTAAGACGTAGTAAATAAAATGAATAGTGTGTTTGTCAGATAAAGGTCTAAAAATAAATAGCATGTCCCTCAGCTCTGCCGATTCTTCTACTTGTTGCCTCAAAAGCCTTTTGACAAACAAAGACCTGAATATATTACTGAACGCATACACACACACACACACACACACATATACACTCACACACTCCTCCAGCCGCCCACGCAGTTGTCTTTAATTGTCTCTTCAGTGTTGGTTCTGATTATGAAGAAGCAATTAACAGTCAATTAGCCAGCTGACCAATCAAACAGTCCACTGTTGCCATGAGGGTTTGTTTACAACCACAAGAGCACCTCTGTTGGACAACGTGGACACAATTGGACTGTGACACATAACGTAACACAGGATTATGGTTTTGGTCTAAGGAACAGAGGAGCACTGCTGCTGTGAAGTCAATCCAGAGTTGTAAAAAGCAGAATCAGTTTCAGGATCTGAAAAACCTCCAGACTCGACTTCAGCAACACCCCCACACCAACACAGACCCTTATCATAAGGGACGCAACCAAAC